GTCAGTTCCTTTAGGCAGCTGGCTTAGATGTCAGGGGATGCCTTACAACTTACCTCTGGCAAGGGTGAAGGTTAGTAAGCCCATAAGCTAAATGAGATTCAGGAGGTGAAACGCTTCACCCAGCGGTACAAAGAAAATTGATGCTCCTGATTTGCCCCAGCTCCATAGCTGGCCTGCGAGGTCATCCCTTTCCGTAGGTGTCGCAGAAAATGGTCCCAGATTGCTTATTTTTTATGCGTTTGTTGCCGGAGAGCGGTGAACTTGCTGTAAGCGAGGGCGTCCGCGTTTTCCCCAGGCATTGCTCCTGGGGGTGGTGTTACTGCAGCGTGTTTGGGGACGCCGCCGTGCCGCCTCTCTCCCGGCAGCACCGGTCGCTCGCCGTGGGCTGGGGACCGGGGCGTTCTCGGGATGGTCCTGGGTGCAGAGGTGCCTCCGTTGGGTGAGGGCTGAATTCCCCTGGGGGAAGAAGGTATCGCCTGACACTTCCTACGTGGTTGTCCCTTCTCGTCAGATCTGTGAGCTTATCAGTCCCTGGGTTTACCCCTGCGTTTGCTTCGCCGTGAGTCACGTGTGTCCCTGTGTAACCTCCGCCTATCCATCTTCTCCCCCGTACACCTCTGCGTGACGGGCGCTTAGTCACGGAAAGGTAAAACAAACAAACAAAAGCATATAATTTTTACGTCTGAGATGATGTAAACCTTGTGTGCATAGTTTAAAAATGTTTTCGGCACGTCTGCTGTCAAATAGCTCCTAAATAATACGGTTTACCTGGGTTGACTGATTTATATGAACCCAGACCCCAAGGATGACATTTTCAACACATCTTCCTTTCATTTGTAAGGGATTAAATGAACATGTTTTGACAAGATTGATCATATGGAGGTTCAGACGATTTCTCTTTGTGGCTTCAATCTATAGCTTGTAGAACTGATAGAATATTATTGTGTCTCATTAAAATAATGCATGGCTGGCAGGCGCCGCTGCATGCAGGAAAACAAATGTTCGGGGAGTTCCCTCTGCTGAGGCCGCCCCGGAGAGGCGACGGCAGCACGGGCGATGCAGCTCCCCGCTGCGGCTCCCGCGTCACCTCCCGTAGCGTCCTGCGGAGATTCGCTTGGTCCTTTATTAGGCATTTATTTAACGCGTGCTCCTCGGTGCTGCCCCCCGAAAGCATTGCTCTGAGCTAAATCGTGCCATTGACATCAGCTGGGAGTAGGAGGCAGATTCCAAGTCCTCTGTTCCTCCCAGGAAAGGTTTTCCCTCTTTAGCTATAATGTTCCCGTTACTCTCACCAGTAACCAAGTTTCAAGAGGGGGCTGCGTCCGTTGCCGTGCACGGGTGCTGGTGGGGATGCCTCAGGAGTCCGGTTTTGTCTTTCAGGCCCTCGTCCTGCAAAATGTTCCGCAGCTTTGGGCACCGCAGCTTGATGGCAGGGTCAGATTTGCCCCTGCAGGATGAGTTTTTTTTGGAGTTTGTACTCTTTGTTTCGATTTCATTAACCTCGTGACCACTGTCGTGGGCTGTCTGCCCTCCGTAGCCTTGGCGGGGCGGGGTGGGGAATTACCTTTAAAACCAGACAAACATCTTTAAGCCCAGAAGCCTTGGAAAACCCTAACGGGCTTGTTCTTGCTCCAGATATACCTGAGCCTTGCGGTTCCTTTTGCAGAGGGAGTAGAAGATCACTTGTCGTCCTCCTTACGGAGACGGGGAATCGCTGGTCTGGCAGACGCAAAGCGCTGCCTCGGGGCTGCAGCAGGAGGAGCGCGACGGTGGGGTGGGGGTCTCCGGACCCCCTCGGGGTTAGTGGCATTTGTAACGTCTCGTTAAGGTGCTGCGCGGAGAGGCCATTTAAATGCCAGTGCTCGGTAGCCTTGGATGCCGTGCTGAACGTCCGCCCTCCAGCTTTCAGCTGGAGTGTGACTACAATCATCTTTTAAGCTGTTTTCTGTGAAACTGCTGCCGGTGCCAGCAGGACCATAGGCAACGGAGTGGGAGCGCGGAAAGGGAAACCGCGTTTCTTCCACAGGCTGAGTGCAGAGTTAGCAGAAGGGTCTGCAGGGCTGGTCTGGTCCTGGTTCACCCCAGACGACTTGCGTTTTCCTCTCGTGCTAAGTCACGGCCGTTCCTGACGTTGCCCTTAGGCACGTGGCCAAATGGAAACGGGAGAGGACTTTTTCTCTATCCTGTTCTCGGCTTGTAGACGTGACTTATCTCCTTCCTGGCTCGGTCCAGGCTTCGGGAGCCATTACCCTTGGACGGCAGGTGAAGGCAGCAATCTTCTAGGTATTTGCTGGCAATTTGCATTGCTGCATTACGCATGGGCAGAAAAAACAGAAATAAAGTACAAGGAACAGGAAATCGTTGCGGTGTTTTTAATCTGAAAGGTGAGATCGAACCGCTGTTTGTAGGCTCCCTTTAATGGCCCCTCAATTGGTAATTAGTGTTATATTATCGCATATCTTTAACAGAATATTGATGCCGTTGGCAGAGATATAATCCCAGTGTCAAGAGTAATTCCCGTCTTTCCAGCGCGTTGCACTTATTACATACGGGCCCAGCAGAGCCGGTCGTGAGGCTCGGCTGATGCATCTCAAATCAATTAGACGCAGCGCTTCACCACAAGTGACTTACGGTACGTCAGAGAAATGCATATTAATGATTTGCTTTGGGAGCGTGAACTGCCAAGGAGGAGGTGCTGGCTTGGTCTGACTACCGCCTGCTCCTTGCTCGGGTTCAAGGAGAGCCTCGAGGATCCAAACCGCATCCTCTATGTGCAGGAACGCGCCTCCCTCGGAGGTACGGCGGAGCCAGGCAGACCTCTCGGCTCATTTATCAAAGCGCCTTCAGTTTCCATTTGAAGGCAGGTGAAACAATAATAAATACCAAGCAACGAAAGTTAATCTCTATCCACAGCATTGTAATAAATGGGAAGTTAAACAAAAATCAATGCGGCCCTGTTAATTCCGGCCAGCTCCCGAGTCCCCCGTGGAGCTGGATTCGGCCCTGGCGGGATGCTGCGGCCAGCCCCTTCCCTTGGGGCACAGGCATCCCCCTCCGCGCTGCCGCCGTGGCGTGGGGCGTTACTCCCACGGCTCTTCACAAGAGCCTTTTCCTCTGCCCGAGCCCGAGAGGTCTCATTTGGCGATGAGCATCAGGCCTGCAAATTATTTAGCTGAGTTCATTTTACTTCTCGTACCTCGGGACTGTTAGAAGAATTGCTTAATGAATCACATCCCATCTCTTCCTGACGCGCGTGCACGCACGCAAGCACAGATCAGAAGGATAACGCAGTCCTCCAGCCATCGCCTCTCAAACGACAGCAAAGGGAACTTGGGATCGATACTTCCCCCGCTATCTCCACCCGCTGAAGGCTGTGGTGTTCCTGGCTCTCCGCACGTGTTGCTCTCCCTCCTTCCCCTTGGCTGCGAAAGCCAAGCATGCCGGAGCCCTCCTTTCCCTCGCTCTCGTCAAGGATTCCTCAGCCATCTTTCAAGGGCACTCGCAGCCCAGGGGTGGTGGAGCGCAGACGGCATCCTTCAGCCTGTCTGACGGCAGCGGTGCCACGGGTCTGGTGTGCTGGGAAAGGCTTTCCGCAGCACCGTAACAGCGGGAACCTT